CTTTTTAGCTCATTAAGTGGAGTGGTTTTTGCTCTTTCCCCTTCTCTGTGGCCCTTCGGTTTCTCTCGCCTGGCTCCTATCCCGTGGCTGGTTCTTCTCCCCTGGCTGCCTGTACCTGTTCCCCTGGCCGCCTGTTCTTGTCCCTCTTGTGGCCCTTTGGGTGCTTCTCTTGGACTGCTTGTTGGCCTTTTATTTCCCATGTTATGATTGGATCGATTGGAGGTAGTTTTGGGCTATTTGGCTGCCCCTTTTCTCTTATATATATGAGATGTTTTGGTGCATGAAAAGGTTGTTGATTGCTGAGCAAAGTCTTTAAAAACCTGAGGGTTTCTCATTTGGAAAGCTTGAGAGCTTGTTCCAACTCTCTTCTCTTCTCTACAATTTCGTCTTGGGCTTCTTATCTCTTTCTTCTCTCCGCAAATTTCACTCTGCTTGTATCTTTCTTCTTGAGCTATTGGAGGTGTTGGTTGGCCAGTTTGGTAGCATTTGCCAGAGGAGTTTTGGTGTATGTTGGCCCAAGTAGCTGTGGTGGACCCTTGGTTTGCATGCCCTTAAGCACATCTTTTATATTGCCTACTATTTTCGTTGTATGTGAGGTGACCGCTTGTCGGTTGTTTTTAGGGTAGTTATTTTTTTTTAATTTAGTTTTCGTTTGTTTGGCTTTCGTTTGTTTTGAAGTTTGTTTGATGTTGGCATTCTAAGTTTTGAATCGAGAAAGGTTCTACTTGTCTTAGTGTTCTCCCCTTGTGGCTTTTTCATTTTCGTTGTATGTGAGGTGACCGCTTGTCGGTTGTTTTTAGGGTAGCTAATTTTTTTTAATTTAGTTTTCGTTTGTTTGGCTTTCGTTTGTTTTGAAGTTTATTTGATGTTGGCATTCTAAGTTTTGAATCGAGAAAGGTTCTACTTGTCTTAGTGTTCTCCCCTTGTGGCTTTTTCTATCTAGCTGTTCGCATCACAAACCTACTTGAGGAGCATAAGTGCTTATATTATTAATAATCTTAGCATCAATAACAATTTTTAATGCTATAATTCTATTTCCAATTCTATTAATTTTTACAATATTATTCTTCAAACTCTTATCTATAATCACACCTATACCATTTCTAGTATGACTCCTACTAGAATATCATAGTTTTAAATTCTAAACTGTTGATCTCTTTAGCCTTCTCTCCAACCCATTTAGTTTCTTGAATGCATATTTTTTTATCTCCTATGGATCATAATATCTATTAATTCCATTAATTTGCATATAAGGGAACATATATTTCAAGTTTCTATTGTAATTTTAGTTTCATGGATTAGCTTCTTTGCCCACATTCGTCCATGATATGAGAACCCTTGCTTATTAAACACTACACCCTGGCGCCAGTGCATCGGCCCTTGCTTACTTGTCTCTGTATTCAGGCCATACAACGCGTCACTTTCAGGGAACGCCATAGCTTTAACACAATGTATTAAATAATTCATGTTATGACTATTCGACAAGTTTTACGCTTTTTGTCGATGACCTAATGCAACCCTTAACATTTCTCATCAAGGACTTGGGAACTGACAATGACAGTGTTAAAAATATTCAAATACATTTTAAACATATTGTGTTAGGCATTAATATAATTGATTATACATATTAAACATTTATATATAAATTTTTACATTTGTTCCAAGCTATGATGCACCGACACTTCTCCTCAAAGAGGCGTGCAGTGTCCGACACCGTGTCCGACACGACACTCGTCCGACACTCCTCCGACACGTGTCGGACACGTCGAAAACGTGTCCGATTAAAAAAATATTAAAAACAAATTGGACACGCGTGTCCGACACACGTATCTTAAATATTATAATTTTTTTAAAAATATAATTTCTTATATTTTGCGAGATTTAAACTAAAATTCTTATTTCATATCCACAACACCAAATCAACGTCTGCATTTAATACCCATTCATCGAATATTTGCATTTTCATTTCTCTTTCGCAGTGAAGGTATTTTCATCTACTCTCTTTTTGCACAATTACAAATCTTTCTCTTGTTGAACCAGAGTTGAAAGTGGTGATATTCAATGATGATGATATTGAAGACCAAAAACAAACTTCTAAAGCTAATCCTAATAGTTGAAGCTTGAATGCTTGATGTTGTAGTAAGTGATTATTTGCTTATATTTGTGGTGTACTAGAATATTTATAATAAATATTTATATTATAAGCTAGACAAGTTTTAATGTCATTCATTATTATTGTTTGTCATTTTTAATATGATATTACATTAATATATATACACTATATAAAAAAATGTATTGCCGTGTCCGCGCCATACCCGTGTCCTATATTTTCAAAAAAAGCCGTGTCTGTGTCGTGTCATGTCCGTGTCGCCGTGTCCGTGTCCGTGCATCATATGTTCCAAGAGAAGTGCTATGGAGAATTCTTGAAAAGAAAGGAGTTCATAATGGTATATTCAAATCATTAAGGATATGTATGCAGGAGCTATTACTTGTGTTCAAACACACGGTGGTTTGACCAAGTATTTCCTATTTCGGTTGGGGTTACATCAAGGATCAGCCTTAAGCCCATATCTTTTTGCTTTAAGTCATGGATTTCTCACTAGACATTTGCAAGAGGATGTACCTTGGTGTATACTTTTTGCTGATGATATTGTTCTGCTGATAAGACTAGAGAGGAGTTTGAAGGTAAACTTGAATTATTGAGGTCAACCTTAGAGTCTAAAGGTTTTCACTTGAGCAGATCTAAAAAGGAATAAATGGAGTGTAATTTTAGTAGTAATAGACCTAGTGAGGGGACTGTGACTTTGGCGATCAAGTCATTAAAAGAGCACACATTTTAGATATCTTGAATCTATTATTCAGAGTGATGGTGAAATAGATAGGGATATTATCAGTAGAATTCAAGTTGAATGTTTGAAGTGGAGGAATGCATCGGGCTTGTTGTTGTGAATAAAAAAGTACCCCTCAAACTTAATGGAAAATTCTATAAGATGGTGGTGAGGCTTGCAATGCTTTATGGTGCCGAATGTTGGCTATTAAAAGAGAAGCATAATACTAAGTTAAGTGTGATAGAGATGAGGATGCTCAGGTGGATGAGTGGCTTTATCCTTAGAGATAGGATACGAAATGAGCATATACGTGAAAAGGTTAGAGTAGTAGCTCCAGTAGAAGATAAGATTAGAGAGAGTCGCCTAGATGGTTGGTCACATAAAGTATGTGGCCTGCGCGATGACCCGGTAGGAAAGTAGAGGAGGTATTAGATTTGACTTATGTTAAGAAAGGTAGAGGCATACCTAAAAAGACTTGGTTAGAAAATATTAGAAAATATCTTTCTTTATTAGATTTAAACTATAATTTAACTTTTAATAGGACACAATGGAGAAAAAGGATTCATGTAGCCGACCCCACGTAGTGGGATAAATGCTTGATTTGTTGTTGTTGTTGATGTAATACTTTGGGTACATTATGATATAGGTTGATCTCAGCTTGTGCTTAAAAATTCAAAGTAATTTTAAATGCTTATAAAAATGAGGTTAATAGCAATGCGAGTTAATAAAATATTATGTCATGTTGGATTGATTGACATACTCCGCGGACTTGTGAAGTGGGAGGAAAAAATTTTTACGAGATCATTTTCAATAGAGAAATAAAAATGATTCTCAACTCTCAATGTTAAATTAAGTTGGAATTGTCCAACTTTGTATTGAGGGTCCATGAATAAATGCAATGTTGATTATTATGGTTGATGGGCTATGTGACGTACAAATAATATAAATATGCTAAAAGCATATTCAAATATTACATAATATTTCTAAAAAATTGAAAACTATATATTAAGGAGAAAATAATAGAATATAATTTCATACCAGTTATTGATTTGTATATTGCATTAAACGATTGCACATCTTACAAAACTATTTCACTATTTCATAGATACTCATGATCATTACTTATTATCAAATATTTTAAATTTTTTATCATCGAAGTAAGTTTTGACTTAGAAGTGTTGCACTAAGTTATATTTATGAAGATAAATTTTCATATTATATTAGTTTATATGATCAATGCACTAAGTTATATTCTTTTTTTGTATTTTTAAACTTTATATTGGAATTTTTTATCCCACGCGTGTAACTCCTCACATATTTAAATGTGGTTTCATGCAAGGGAAGGAATGGTTGGGGTTGTACTCAAATGATCATTTTTGTTCTACACCATAGCTTTTGGATGTAGTATAGACGAAGATGTGTATGATGTAAATTAAATATTTTTGTACATATGAATTTATATTGAAAGTTTTTTAAAAGCTCTGTATTCCATTTGACAATTCTATTTATGCATGTTTTCAAATCAAATTTTATGTTCAATGTTAGAAAAATTTAAGTTATATTTTTGTGATTATCTATATGTTTTCACTCATTCAATTATAATTAGTTAAGTCAAGATATGTGTTGGTAAGAAATAACTTTGATTGTATTGTCCGTCTCAGTTTAGCCTTATGATTAAATTAACGAGATCAAAATGGGGCATGACAGCTAGGTTGCTTGGCTAGGTTGAAAACTTGAAATTATTTAACCAATGTGGGAAAGTTTTACCACCTGGGCCCTTTTTGAGCTGTGTCCAGTAGCAAAACCAGTAAAATTTCCCAAGCATCCAAAATTACACTCCGTTTATGCGTTCAGATTTTGTCCTTAGGTAAGTGCTTTTGTTGTCCGAAATCTATGATGAATTTTATTTCTTAGGAAATGGCCTTAACTCATAATTTCTTGACCATTATTTCTGTTATTGATTGTGGTTATCAAATATGCCCTCAGATATTTTAAATTCAATTGTGTTGAATCATCCTTCTATTTTATTTGCAAGCATTTCATCATAAGTGCATCTAAATTGTCAGTTCGTATTCATGGTAATTTAATTCTGACCACAACAAATTGATTGATCTAGCTTTATGGGCTCAATGGTTGTGGGTTGAGTAACTGTTTATTCTGTTTCCTTTTCAGGGATGAAATATTGATTTGGGTTAGAAAGAAGACTGGTTCGCCTTTAATAAGATTGTCTTCAGTAATAGCAGCCGAGAAGTTCCTTAAAAAACATCAGATACATGTTATAGGGTTCTTTGAGAGCTATGAGGTGGGTAACCATGTAATGTTGCATTAGCATTGTGGTTTGCATTATAATTAAATTTGACTGTATACGTTAGCACTGACTTTCTGCTAGTTGATGTTTGGACCATTTTGATGTCCAAAGTCCTTGGCTTTTACAGTAGTATTTAATAGAATATCCAAATTTAAATAGATGTATCTGACACGTCATTGATATTATCCTGCAAAACTCTGCTAGTGATGTTCTCTTGCATACAACAATAACAACAAGCCTTTCTCCTATTATGTGGGATGAGCTATATGAATCCTTTTTCTCCATTGTGTTATGTTAAGAGTCAAATTCTCATCTAAATCTAATAAAGAAAGGCCATTTCTAATATCTTCTAACCAAATCTTTTTTAGGTTTACTTTTACCTTTCGTAATATAAGTCAAATCTACATCTACTTTCCTAACCGGCTCATCGGAATGTCGTCGTTTTATATAACCAAACCATCTAAGGTGACTCTATGTAATCTTATTTTCCACTAGAGCTACTCCAACCTTTTTACGTATATGCTCATATCATATCTTGTCTCTAAGAGTAAAGTGATAGGAAACACTTGAAGATTTCAAGTAAATCCTATCAATTTCAGGAAAACAACGAGAAATCTCTTACCATCTCCAATAAAAATCAGAGAAAATAGTAATTTTATTGCAAGAAATCAAATAGAATGGAAAGAAAAATAGCAAGATGCAATTGATACACTATTCGAGAGGAGGATCTATCTCTCCCAAATCTTTAGATGCTACTAGAGCCGAAAAATCGAAATCTAAGAGATCTCAAATTTCAGCCCAAATTTAAGATGCCCTAACCCTAGGAAAACAAACTATTTAATGCATGCAATCCAAAAAGAAATATCTAAACAATCCCTACATTCAAATTTCCCTCATAACTTCCTCAAAAAACCTTCCTAAATAGCTATTTTTGTCCCGGCGGTGCATTCGGCGCCTACAGGAAATGCGGAAAAGTTTGCTTGTTTCACCCGTAAGTCGGTCCCATATGGACCTGCTCAATGGTCCGGTCTAGCAATACTCCCCTCCCAAAAACTCAACTTGTCTGCAAGGTGGAAAGACGACGCCCCCTTCCATTCCCTCATCATCACAAACGGTAAGAATCTGAAGAGTTTGGTCCTTACACCTGTGCCCTGGAGTATACCTCTCGTCACATGTGAAACAGAGCACATTCGCCCTCTTCTCCTGTAATTCTGTTTCTGTGAGCTTCTTGAAGTTGTCCCCAGATCTTCCTTCTGCAGTCTTTTCCTTCAAAGTCCCTCAAAGAGTGTCCGGTGTTGGCTCATTGGATGTCAATACCGTGGTGGTCATCCTGTACGAGCCTATGAAACTGCTTCCTCTCGTTCCTCTCTCCAGATGCCTTTGATCCTCCACTTACTGTGCTAGCTCCATAGCCTCTCCCATGTCACGAGGCCTCATCACTGTAACCGTTGCCTGGATATATGGTTTCAGTCCCTTCATGAAGTTCCCCTCTAATACCATCTTAGAAAGACGGTCCAATCAACTAGCATGGTACTCAAACCTCTCTCGGTACTCTATCATTGAACCATCCTATGTCAAGGCGAAGAACTGTTCGTAGAAGTATCCTCCTCTGCTGGTTCTAAAACGTTCTACCAAACAATCCTTGAACTCCCTCCAACTCCGTATGGGTCATTGCATATCCCTCCATTGGTACCAAGCCAAAGCCTTCTCTTCCAAACATAGGGCTTGCTGCCGTTAGTTTTTCTTCCTCCGGTAACTCATTGACGATAAAATATCTTTTAACCTTGTAGATCCACCCGTGCGCATCCTCCTCTTCAAAGATTGGCATCTTCAGTTTCATAACCCTCGGATCGCCTCCGTTCCCTCTGCTGCCTCCATAATTTCCTATCCCCCAAGGGGATGGTTCTCCCCAAGTGTCCCAGTCATCCCTTCTACTCTCATACCTATACCCAAACCTTCATCAACTTCCAATCTTCTTCTTTCAAATTCAGCACCCCTTGAATCATAATAAACCCCTTTCCTTTCAAATTCAGCCCCCTTTCAGTCATAATCTCTTCTTTCCCTTTCAAAATCTGTCCTTTCCTCTCAAATTCAGCACCCCTTTATTCTTGCACTATCTCCTTACGCTTCTCCCATACTATCTACCTGGCTCTTCCTTTGGAATAGGCTCTAGGGAAGGTATTCTCTATTCTCTCTTTCGAGTCTCCACCTCCTGATCTTCCCTTTGACTTATTGGCTCAGAGTTTTCTCCACTTTCCTGGCTATCGGTGACTTTCCTTACCTAAGTCACCTCCAACGACATTTTTTTGTTTTGGCCCTCGAGCAGTTTCTTCAACATCTCCCCAGAGTGAAAAAATTTGAATTGATTTTATCATTGATGACTGAAATTTCTTTCCTTAAATCTCAAACTTGAGTTTTTAAATATGAAATTTGAGATTTCATTTGTCTGATATCCCCTTTGAGGCATTCCTCAAATGCATCCACTTTCTTGGCTGCTCGAATTTTTGTTGGACTTAATATATGAATCTCGATTCCAAAAAACAACAAAATTCTCTTTATCCAGCACATAAACAGCTACTGAAATTCACAAAAACAGCCCCCAAAAGGTCCCAAAATTTGCTTTGATACTAATTTGATAGAAAACACTTAAAGATTTCAAGTAAATCCTATTGATTTCGGGAAAACAACGAGAAATTGTTAAGAGAGTTGCTATTTGCATGTTTTACATTCTTGCAACTTGTATAGTTTTGATGATTCCAAATATTATTGTTTTAAGTTTTGTTATCTCCTAACTTTTTTTTGAAAAATTTGTTTTTGCTCTTGTGTGGACTAACATTTCAGGAAATTTGAACTCCAGACTAATGACGACTTCAAATCAAATTCAACATAAGATAGTTTGTAAATTGAATCTTGTATTTTTCTTTGTATTGAGTTTGAGAGGGAGTGATTGTAATTGTGTAAACACACACACACACTTAACAAGATCTTTAAAAAATTATACCGATCGTACGGGACGAATACAGTTCGTACGGGACGATCAAGTCAGTTATCTCCTCGGAAGAGCAATGGAACAAACAGGAAGCGACGAAAATTTTTCTAAGTTCTGATCATCCAGGACGAATTTTTATTCGTCCCAGGATGAAATCTCCTCTGGAAAATTTTCGTTCATACGAAATTTATATTCGTGCTTGGACGAAATGCTCTCTGGGAAAATTTCGTCCAGAAGAACTCCAATTCGTCCCAGGACAAAATATCCTATGTAAAATTTTTGTTCAGATGAAATTTATATTCATGCCAGAACGAAATGCTCTATGGAAAAATTTCGTCCAGACGAACTCCAATTCGTCCCTGGACGAAATGTCATCTGTAAAAATTTCGTCCGGACGAACACATATTCGTCCCAGGACGAAGCGAACTGACTCTTATAAAAAATTGGCAACTTCCTACAGATTTCGGAACCGACCTATAGTATAACCGTTCGTACCGGACAAACCTAGTTCATACGGGACGATTAATGTGTACGTTGTCAATTCGGTCCAATATATATTGGGTTCGTTTCCAACTGAATTAAGTAACATCGTCCGGGACGATCCACGATCGTACGGGACGATTCCCTGCTGACAGACTTGAATTTAAGCAGTTTTTGGACGATTTTTTGTGTCTTTCCTATATAAAGTCCAATATAAACTGCCACTTAATCTTTTTGCCTACTGATCTTCATGCCAATTGAAAGGAGAGTCAAGGAAAGAGTGTGAGAGAGTGTTTTAAGGAGAATTCTTTCTACTGGAGTGTGAAGGTTTCACTTGATACTCAAAAGTAAGAGTTTCTACTTTTGATTTTTGATTACTTCACTCTTTTCTCTCTTCCTTCTAGATTTCTTGTGAATAAGATCTGTCAAGGAGATCCGGTTCTCTGCCGACACTTGGAGAGTGTGAACAACCGAAGGGTTTTCTGCCCACACTAGGAGAGTGTGAACAGCCGAAAGGTTCTCTGCCCACACCAGGAGAGTGTGAACAGCTGAAGGGTTCTCTGTCCACACTAGGAGAGTGTGAAAGGACGAAGGGTTCTCTGCCTACACTGGGAGAGTGAAAGGACGAATGGTTCTCTGTTAACACTGGGAAGAGTGTAAAAGGACGATGGTTCTCTGCCGCACCGAATAGTGGTGGAAGAGAGTTTTGTAAAGCATTCTCCGCCTTGCTGTGGGTGCAAAAAAAGAGTCACTAGTTGTATTACTGCAATACTCGGAGGGTGCCTCCGGGGAGTGGATGTAGGTCGTGTTTGACCGAACCACTATAAATCTCATGTCTTTTATTTTTTCGCTGCTTTTATCTTTGTTTTACTGTTTTTAACTTGTGGTTGAAAAATTTTTTTTATAAAATTCACTAAAATTAAATTCTCGATTTTAAATTTTAAAAGAGGGTAAAATTTTTTAAATACCAATTCACCCCCCTCTTGGTTAGCCGCTGGGACATAAGCTTAGGTTTAACAACCTAATTCATAGTGAACAAGTTTCACCAAGTGGTATCAGAGCCTTGTTTCAAAATCATAAGTTTAGACTACTTTTTAATTAACGTAGATGACTACATTTGGAAATCGAAATACACCTGAGGGTTACTCTAAAACTAGACCTCCATTGTTCGACAATATTTCTTTTGATTTTTGGAAAACACGTATGTCTACATTTTTACAGTCACTTGATTATCGTATGTGGATCTTAGTTCAGGAAGGTATACAAAACCAACTAGACTAGTTGACGGAGTTAGAGTTGAAACAGCTTTTGTGGACTGGACAGTAGAAGAACGTGACTTAGCACAACTAAACGACAAATGCTTGAACAATTTATTTTGTGCACTTAAATCAGAAGATTACATGCGGGTTTCTACTTGTGATGCATTTAGATTTTTGCATTATTTTTGTTTTGAACAATATTAGTTATATTTTCTATTTTTTTGTTTTGTTTTTAAGCTATCCAATGATGGTGGTAAATCCAATGA